GAAGAGGGTTGAGTTACTGCGTTACTAGTTGAGGATAGGGAAGGCGGTGGAGGCTTTGAAGACGATGCCACCACTTTAATGGGGGAAGAGGAAGATACTTCAGGCTCGTTATTATTCGAAGCAGATTTCGTTACACGCAGCACATTTCAGATGGTAAATACCATCACAAAGCCAGCACGATAAGTAGCGTTCGGAATCGCTTTTAATGTGTCAAGTATCAAGATCGCACTTCATATTGAAAGATTTAACAACACTTGTTAATAAAAAGACAAACAAAAAAATTATAACAATTTAGGAGCTGATGTAAATAGCTTTAAATAAATGAAGCGAACAGTTTGAGTATCACTGTGATTATGACACTTAATAAACGCAACGCAAACAGCTGTGACAAGAAGTAAACAAAAATAGTAAAACAAATGTGGAAAAATAAAACGATTTCAGTTAACTACAAAGGATACAACAACAATGATAGCAACAAATGACTCGGCAAGATTAGAATGTATGCTAGCTAGTGAAATTTAATTAAATTTAGTTTAATATAAAACACAATAACTTTCACTTAGCTTCATTTATTTCACACTAAGATGCTCAAAGCACTTTTTATCACAACTTTAACTCAGAATTAGGACAATAAACTTAGCAAATAGAAAGTCAAAATCAGAGCACAATATAAGTATAACCTCACAGCTTGACGTTTGCTTCAGAAGGCCTTTTGGAGGAGTTCTTTTAAAGTTGCTTCTTTAATTTATAAAAATCATACATCTTTGAAGTATTTGCCTAAGGTTTATATCAAATATGTGTTATTGCAACTTAAAATGTTTATTGAAACTCATTTGCAATGCTAAATAATATAAATTTATGCATTCGCGTAAATCGTAAATGGCGTAAATTGTAGAAGGCATGCAAGGAAACACTTTTTTCATCCCTTGTTGGGTAGGCCTCTTAGAATGGCTTTACTTAAGAAGGCCTACCTAAATTATCTTCTGGATGTATTTACGTGTATATGTATGTATACTTATACTCGGATATGTAATAAAGCTGATAAAACGGTGCTACAAAAAAGTCATGAAATACACCCGAAACAAAACCTAGTGTAGGTTGTAGGTATGTTCAAATACAACATGAAAATAGGTCCCGTATAGTTCCTGAACCCTCAATTTTTCTATACAAAAAAAAAAACGTTACTTTCGTACTTGATGCACTTATCTATTAATAGCTTGACTATTTATAGACCTTTAAAACGATGTATAACAATATATTGTTAGACTTAGCTTGTTGCGAGTTTTCATCTGTTAAATTTTAATGAGCCCTATTTTTCTTAATTTTTTCAACTTTGATCATCGGTAATTTCAAAAATTTCTATTAAAGTTGCCAAATATGTGGTATTTATTTAAAAGAACATTTATTTTCGAATAGATTGATACCTCGCCTAATGGAATTGCATACAAATTTTCGACCTTAAGCAATTTATGCAAAAATGCGGCATTGAATTTATTTGTGTGTGTACAGGACGTGCAGATTTTGTGAGCAGTGTGGTTAAGGAGTTCATCAATATTTACTCAAAATTTATATACACAATGGCTCTCAAGGAAAATTTATTTTTCATAAAATTTTAAGAAAATGGGCGTGGGACCGCCCAATTATATTGAATGAACGGTAAGAGGAAGAGTTATGTACGTCACTTACAGAACTGTACGATGGTTTTGTAGCCCGTACATTTTAGAATAATAATGCGCAAGTTTAAAGTAACTAGTACATATGCCGAATTTCGACTAGGCATTGAAATTACCGAAAATCTATGCCATTCAAAATATGCTGTTTCGAAACTTTAAGCGACAGTTCTCGAGGAAATAAAAAATGAATATGCGAATTTCTATTAGCGGCCGCTTTTAAACTTTTTCTTTATTCGTTCCCTCTTAAAAACTTAGCTGCTTACAAAGTTGTTCTTCTTTTTATACTATATACGTATGGCTTGATTTTACCGCTAGACATGCACGTACATAAAAATGTTAGATATATAGTACACATATGTACTTAAGCACATATGTAGGTACGCTAAGTACATAAATGAAACGAACAGAAATAAGAAAATACATATGAATTTAAAGAATATAAAACCTTCACTGCTCGGCTGAACTTAATGTCGGTGACAATGCCATCTGGAAATGAACTTAATGACTACTTTTTTTAGTGGAATGACACGATTACTTTTTATTGCCCGACTTTCGTCATTTGCCATTTTGGCAATTTAATGCCTAGTTGAAATCCAGCATTACCGTTGATTTTTAGCGCGACAGTCAGCAAAAAAAAACTTGCCATAAATCAATGTTATCTACTTCAAACTTGCAATTTGCGGGTTACAAAACTGCAGACCAAGAACTTTTTTTCGCCAGTTTAATATGTGAAATTCTATTAGGACATTCGATGCTGCACACCAAAATTTTTCTAAAGATTCTGATAAAAAAAATTTGCAATTTTTTTACGAAGTTTGAAAATTGGACTTACATGGATTTTGTGGCAAAGATAATAGAAACGCCCATTTGGACTAGTTAATGGACCGTCTGCCATTCCACGCTACTAGAAGATATAGAGGCTTCCTCTCTCCCACAGAGGCTCAAACGGTGGTCGGCAAATTATCTGAGTGGTCGACCCTCGTCGGTAATGTTTAGAGACAAATCGAGTAAACTTAGAAAAATAAAACAGGGGGTTCCACAGGGTGGTGTCCTTTCCCCGCTACTGATTAACTTTTACATTTCAAAGCTCCCTCAACCACCAGAGGGAGTCTCGATTGTCTCTTACGCCGACGATTGCTCGATCATGGCGACTGGGAATGGAATTGATGACCTGTGTTCGAAAGTAAACGGGTATCTGTCCGAACTTTCTCACTTCTTCACTGCAAAGTGTCTAGCCCTCTCCCCTACGAAATCCTCTGCGACCCTGTTCACAACCTGGACGAAGGAGGTCAGGCTACCGCTGGAAATTCCCGTCGATGACACACCAATTCCGACGGTGAATAATCCCAAAATACTCGGAGTAACATTCGACAGCCTGCTCTCCTTCTCTGCGCACGCAACCGCTATTGTCAATAAAGTACAGAGCCGCAACAAGGTCCTCAAGTCGCTAGCCGGCAGTACTTGGGGCAAAGACAAAGAAACGTTGCTGGCAACATACAAGGCAATAGGCCGGCCGGTTTTAAATTACGCAGCGCCAGTGTGGTCGCCGGGGACTAGTAGGACGCAGTGGACGAAGATACAGACTGTACAGAACACCGCACTCAGGACAGCGACAGGATGCCTCCTGATGTCGCCCGAACATCACCTCCACAACGAGGCACAAATGCTCCCCATAAAGGAGCACAACATAATGCTCTGCAAGCAGTTTCTGATCGGGAGCCACAGAAGTGGCCACCCAAACAGACATCTGCTTGCAGAGGAGCCCTCGCCTAGGCACGTCAGGAGGCATCTATATGAACTGACGGACGAAGTCCAGAGGTTCATCAAGCAACCTCTGGACCCGTCAGCTTACCGACTGGTCCTGAACGGCATTTACAGGGAGTCAGTCTCGAGTTATGTAGACTCTAAACCTGTGAATGCCGTTCTAGGCACACCACCACCGGACATAGACGAGACGGATCTTCATCTGCCTCGGGAGACACGAACAACAATAGCCCAACTTCGCTCTGGCTACTGCAGCAGGTTAAACTCCTACCTAAGTAGATTGAATGAGGATGTGCCAAATGAGTGTCCGGCATGCGGAGAGACCCCACATGACTCGAAACATCTCTTCGCATGCCCGGAAAACCCGACAACTCTAACGGCTTTGTCCTTGTGGACCGACCCGATAGAGGCTGCACGCTTCCTAGGGCTGCCGTTAGTGGAACTTGACGACAACGACTGAGATATCAACCGATCTGGGCGGGGTTGTTGTAGCCGCTACAACCGTATGTATAATCTGCATACAAATGAGTAATTTAAACATTTCAAACATATTTTTCAGAATTTTTATACAAATTTTAGGTATGCACTTTTATAGCCCGCAAATTACCGTTGAGTTTTGAATTTTTTTTTTGCCGGAATTGCGAGATTTTTCAAATAAAATTGCGAAAAATCAAATACTAAAAAATCAACGGCTACATGAAACTTACACTTCATCATACTAAAATTTAATGGCCTATAAGACTGCATTTTTCTAAAAATTTCTTAAGAATAAGTTTGAAATTTTGGTGAAAATTTGTTGAATTTTTATAATTTTTGTACAATGTTTGAATTAAGCATGTATATGCAGTTTATTATATAATGAGCTAGAGTTTTATTAAAAATTTTAAGTAAACAAGAGGTATAGCCAAAACTGCTTAACCCGTCTATTCCCATTTGCAGGGTTCTGCATTATTCTTATATTTCTTCCACTTATTCATTACATATTGTTTTCTTCTTAATTTGATGGTTACTTTTCATTATGTAGATGACTTTCATTTCTAGATGATCTACCCCCGAAAATACATACCTATCTACATTGTTATCCTCCCTAAACCAACTATTATTTTGATACATAAATTTATCTATAATATATTCCATATCATGTTTTGCCAATTGTATTTACCATTTAGACACATCATTTACGATTTTGTCATCGTTAGCTGAACTTCTGATATGAACAACACTCAAAACATCGAATTCCACAAAAGCTTGCGATAAAAGTGAAAAATTTCACAGCTGACTTGCAACTGCAATTGCAAGAAAATTATATACTTTCCATTGTTTTGTTAAGTTGTTAACAGAGGTAAAATAGAAAAAATCGTTTTCCGTGAGCTGAAAAATTTTTAAGAGGTGTCACCTACAGATGGTACTGGGAATTCAAGTTAAATAAATATTTCTGCCCACCAGGGTAAACTTTCTCATAACCATTAAATGAACAAAAGAAAAATAGTTAAAACTTCTTAAAATGTGGGGTCCCTTTTTACTTTTACGCCACTGTATGTATAAGGCCATTGAAAAACTAACCTCGTATTGCTTTTCCTCTGCTGCACGCCTTCGCTTTAATTCTTTATCCTTGAGAATCTTTTCACGTAACGCCTTTTGTTTCTCAATTTCTAATCGATAAGCACGCGTTTCTTCATCTTCTTCAGCCTTTAAAGTAAGTTATTGTTATAGTTAAATATATTCAAGATATTACGAAAATAAAACATACGTCTAAACGATCACGTTCACCACCACGACGAAAGCTTCCTCCAGCACGAGGTAATGGAGATAAACTACGCCTACGTTTGCCGTAACTTCCACTTCTTTTATCATAGTTGCGATCTCGGCTATCTCCACGACGGAAGCGATTTCCCCGTTGTCCTAGGTTACTATTTCCGCTTCCTCCTCCAGTACGTTCTCGATCAATTGGTATACGCTCTCGTTCCCTCTCCCGATCACGATCTCTTTCCCGTTCTAATCGATCCCGTTCTCGGTCACGATCGCGATCTCGTTCACGGTCGCGATCACGTTCTCGATCTCGGTCGAAGTGCAAACCGGACCCGCCGGTACCAACGCCACCCCGTTTATTTGGTGGCGTAAAACTTCTCTCTCGTGAATGCGTTCGCGATCGACTGCGGCTGCGACTACGTCTCAAGGTAAGAGGTGAACGTTCATGTCGACGTTTTTCAATATGCTCTCGATTTTTATTAATAAACTCTTCTTGTTGACGAAGAAGCTCATCGTCACTCTGCAAGTGTGAAACATGGCTGCTAATTGTTGACATAAACTGTGTCTCTTTTATAAACTTATTTGTAGCTGCTTGGACACCACCTTTGAAATTTGGGTTGATAAGAACTTTACTTGGGCGCAATGTGGCGGATGGTATAGAGCCACTGCCGTTCCCTCCCGCCAATTGCGATGGCAGCGCACCCGTGTTTGGATGAACACCGCCTTGTGGCAATTGTAGTGGAGCCTGTGGAGGCTGCAGAGATTGTGGTTGCGGCGGTCTGTGCGCCGAGTTATTCAAGAAATTCGGTGCTAAGCTTTGCGGGGGTAAATTTGACAATGGTGGCCGTGGCAAACGCATATTAGGGCGTAATGCCATAGGTCCGCCACTTGGGACTAGGCCTGAATTATTTCCACCTGCCATTGGTCCGCCACTGAGTTCAGGACGAAAAATTGCTCGTGGTGGATGCGACATATGCCCGAAATTTTGATTGAAGGGCACTCCATTGCCTGTATTGTAATCATGTTGGACCTGGGGATACATACTTCCTTGATTCGGATGTCGGAAACTCATTGGTCCACCAATACGAAAACCGGTATATGGATGCCGAGGACGATGAGAAATGGGTGGGTTCATGGGATCGTGTTGATGAAGTGGAAGTGGGGCATTAGGGTTTTGTGACTGTGGTCCCATGGTTGAGGAATTTGCAGGTGGGCCATGTGTAGTGTTATGTGGTGCATATGGTAAGGGTTGTTGTTGTAACGGGAATTGACCTGGAATGATGGCGGATGTTGTATGGGTTAGTGTTGTAGATATGACACTGGTTCTCGCTGCGGGAAACCCGTGCGTCGTCAATAGGAAATTACCGTGAGATGGAGGATAACGGAGAAGCGGTCTTTGACCATGGTACGATCCACGTAGTGAATGGGGTCGCAGAAGTGGATTTCCACCGCGTTTACTATGAAGAAAACGAGAATGATGTTTCTCTGAAAATACAATATTCCAATGTCAACGTACATTGAGTTCAATTGTGTTAAATGCAAAACATTTGGTGTAAGCTATATATTATCATTGTAGGTAATTACTTGGCACATGATTTTCCGAATTTTTTACAAATCAGTAGATATTTACCTGCTGTTTCATTAATAACTGCATCGAAATCTCTTTCATTAGTTGTTTTTATATTCGTACGTGCTTCACGTTCATCCTCGATATCCTCTCTGGGATCAGAAAAGTCACTGGCGCTTAGGTGAGCAACACTAACGCTCTCTTGTGAACTCTGCAGAAAAGAAGAGTCTGTCATATTACCAGTGCTGCAACTTATAACTGATGAGTGATCCACTTCAGCTTCTTTGCTACTGCTTGAGGTTACTTCATCATTATTTGTTATGGTTTGCGACTGAGCCTGCGTTGAAAAAGGATTTACCGCTTGTAATGAATCTCTGGGAACCTGTGATTGGGTAGGTTCTTTGAATTCAGCAACTCGTATAGCAGAGCTTCCGCTGGTAGAGACATCATCGATTACATCACCTTGTTTTAATGAATTCGGATACGAAATTGGCGCTGCTGTAGAAGTAACCTCGGTTGCATCTGCAGATGCTAATTTGTGGGTTTTTTTGTTAACATTACTGCCGCCAACACAAGATATCGTTTGTTGTGCGTTGACTTGGTTAGAACCAATTTGTCTCACTTCTTTTTCTTGTATGCGTTCATTAACCCACTGTTCTGCCTCGGCTTTTATTTGCTGTTTTACCTCTTTGGTTACATCTTTTTCCAATTCTACATTATTAAAGTAATTAGATTTTTAAATCTATATGAAAATGTTACAACTTACCATCGTCTGACAAAAGTAATTCATCTTCATCAGCTCCATAAAAAGCTTGATCATCAATATCATCACCCAATTCGTAATTTAGCAAGTCGTCGCTGAAAGAGGTGAAAAAAAAAAATATTAGAAATGAGACTGCCAGACCCTTCTGCGGCTGCCATTTCAATATGGCGAAAATCAACCCCCCCAGAGTGAACGCATTTTAAAATACATTTTCGACATATTGCCTCCACTAAACTCTATATATTACATTATACATTTACACCAGAATAGTTGAGTTGCATTTTTATTATAAAATATTCCAAAGTTTTCAATATATTATATTTACAAATCTAATTGAAGGAAAATTCACTTACTTCAAATTCATGTCAGACATTTTGATAATTGTACAACCACGCACACACACTTTTTGCTTTTGGACACTGACAACCAGAGTGACAACAGTAGTCATTGGTGTTTTTGACGTTTATACTTCTTTTCCCTACAGTTAGACAGAGATATCTATAGAGTTTGGCATGGCTGGTACACAGGATTGCCAAGGTACCGAATTTGTAAATATTGTAACAGAATGTTTACAAATACATAATTGCCCATTTCGATTAAATCGTACTGCCCGTCTCCGCCGGATAAAGTTTATGGCGCATATTCATAGTCATATTTAGTACTCAACTAAGGGCCGGTTACTCAATGCCTGGTTAACACTAATCTCTGGTTAAACATCTTTATCGACGTTACCGACTCCCTGTTATATGAATGGAGTCGAATACGTCGATAACAATGTTTAACCGGACATTAGTGTTAACCAGACATTGAGCAACCGCCCTAAGTCGAAACTATTCTAAGTCACAACTAAAGCTATTCATAGTCGCCTTATAGGCTGTTTTTGCTCACGCGTAAAAGCATATTTAGCGCATTTAGCTCTAAATGCTACTCTAAATGTACATTTATCCATACAAAATTCGTCACCTAAATGCAACTAAATGCAACTACATTTTTGCATTAAGAATCTAAATGCTAAAAGCAACCCTGTGATCTTCCAAAATTTCCACGATTCGAACATGGTTTAAAGAGAAAAAGTGGCAACATTGCTTTTTCGGGTATACAGTTGCTAGCTGCGTTTCAGTGATCGCCGATCGAGATTTCTTTTATTTTGCATTACATATTTGGATAAAGAAAAGTTAAGCAAATTCAACATCGATTTGATACTGATAGAAATCTGGATCAATTTGTGATCAACTCTGTTTGGTTTGTTTCCTAATTAAGTGAGGAAATTTTAATTGAATGCACCGACAAATAAATATATACACAAACAAATGTTCGGTTATGGTTAAAACAATTCAAGTTTTTGTATTGAATTTTTGGTTTAAAATTTATTTTTTCCTTTTCAGTAGGGTTTTTGCACATTATCTTCTGCGTGAGAATTGATCGTAATATATACGCATCTAAATAAGAGACTGGAACACGGCTGTTTGTCAAAAGCATACGATTTCGAACTCGCGTAAATGTACATTTGCTAAATGCTATAGCATGAACGCTCTTCGAAAACATATGTTCGAAAGTGCTAAATGTTGCATTTTAAATGCAGCAAAAACGCTGCATTAGTTTCGACTTTTCTGGCTAAGTACCAACTTAAAATTTAGTTTCGGCTGCAGCTGCAACTAAGGGCCGGTTACTCAATGTCTGGTTAACACTAATCTGCGGTTAAACATCGTTACCGACGTCTTCGACTCCATGCATATAACAGGGAGTCGGTAACGTCGATAACGATGTTTAACCGCAGATTAGTGTTAACCAGACATTGAGTAACCGGCCCTAAGTCGTAACTAGGAAGAAGTATTTTATCAAATTAAGGAAAACAGACGAAATATGTAAAAATTAAGTTGGTAGAGGGTGATTTTGATAATATTGAATAATCTCCCATTAAAATTTACAAAGATCGATCCATTTTAATCGGAAGTTGAAATTAAATGCGTATTACAATTCGAATAAAGCTACATCACAATTTTATAATTGGAATAATTTATATTAATTCTCAAATAATAAGTCAGTTTCACGCTAGTTCTTTTAAAGTAAATTTTTGCATAACATTTAGATATCTACTATTTGTATGTTTCACAGCATGCTTTCGATAAACATCGACTTCAAATCACTGCGGTTGTTCTGGCTATTTCACACAATTAACAAGAAAATGATACTTTATTCTTTTGCATAATCATGCAATGAAAATAAAAATGACATAAACGGATGATCAAACTTGACATTATTTAATAAAAATGTAATTTTTCCAAAATATCGTAAAGAAAAATCGATACATTTTCACACTCGTTTTGCTATATCGTAAACTAAGTCGAAACTACTTAGTAGAATTCTGAAATGCGACTATGAATAGAAGTAAATTTTAAGTTGGTACTTAAATTTAAGTTGCAACTTTGTTAGTTTCGACTTAGTTGCTAGACTATGAATACGCGCCTATATCTTGATACATATGTTAGAATAGGCATGTTTTATTCAACCATCACAAGCAAATAAAACGAAATTAGCTTATTTCCTATGTTAGCCTAATTTTGACAGTTGTTTGACTTCAAATAGTGTCAAAGTAAGTTTTTCCCTCTTTCTGATTGGCTGGTGCAGAAAATTTCTGATGCTGAATTTCAATGCCTCATGTTCAATATACAAGCCAAGATATCTTTTCATAAGCCAATATAATTATGTAGGGTAAGTCGTCCATACAAAATAAGCTAATAGCTTAAATTTCTGGGCAAATAAAACACGGCTAATATAAACAGCCAATGGAGACCGCTCATTGCTCTTCAAGAGCAATATATATCAGAACTTATATCTTGCCATCTATTGCCGGCAATTCGGTAGTTTGACAGCTACATGTTCATTTGCATGAAAACTTTGTGGCGGCAACATTATTGATATTTTAATATTAAAGCAAATATTGAGCTGTTTTCTGTTAAAATATTTGTTATTATGTAATTGGATGTAAAATAGCCTATTTTCTAAATTTCTTAAGTGATTAAATCCGGCAAAAATACGTTTTAGAAGCCTTCCCACAAATGCTTATATCAAGATATAAAAAGCCCACACAAATTTATTTATTTTATTACAAACTGAAGCTTACAATTAAAATTATAAGCCTAGTAAAGAAAGCTATGGCTGCTATGGCCTGAAGCTTCTTCTTGTGATGAATAAATAGAGCTTAATACTAAGTGCTTATAAGTAGTTTAGTATTTCATTCAAAATTTTCAGATTAGATATATTTATTGGACATATAGGCTGAATTTCTTTATTCATTCTGAACGTTTGGAATAAACTTTTTTGTTTACTTATTCTTTAGAACGTTCCTGATGATATGTTAACGTATATTTCAAACACATTCTTTTTATTCCGGCTGTGAAATGAGATTATCCGGAATGTATAAAGAAACGCAGCCATTTATTTAAATTTCGTAATATAATTTGGATATTTTTAAGAAAGCTATAATTTTATTAATATTATCGATTGGGGGGTTGAAAATGCATTGAACGGGATCGGCGTTATGAAATATATGGTTTCTTAGTGAATTGAAGGGATAACAATCTGACACAACGTGATTAATGGAGATACGGGGCGGAGTTATAAAACTGACATGTTATGGGGGTATTGCTGTCTATAAGGTGAAGATGGGTTAATTTTGAATGGCCCAGACGAAGTCGTGCGAGTTTAATAAAATCCATTCTAGAAAGTGAAGGGTCAGCATGGTTTGCGATGTTGCTCAAGTGAAGCTTTTGTACATTTTGCGCTTTGTATAGGGATGCAAACGATGCATCGATGTTTTTGAAACATCGATAATATCGGTTCAATTTTCGATGTTTTCCACCGATGTTTACAGTTTACTAACATCGCGAAATTGACGATACATCGTTGGAAGTTTTATCAATGTTTTAAACATCGACTTTAAGGAGTCTCTCCGACTTTATTTCGGTATGTTTAACTGACCTTAAAGTTATTATTCATTCAGAATTTTTTTTGTTATTTATGGCCTTATAACAATTATATTCAACAATTTTATTGAGCTTGAGGCCGTTTCTTATGAAAAATGTTATTGAAAATCAACAATAATTTACAAAAGGTAGAAGTTATAGCTGCTATTTCAGAGCCCACCACATCTCCTCAGTGAGCGCGGTTGAATAAGTCTGATTAGTAGATGTGGTGATCTCCCAAATAGCAGCTATAACTTCTTAACTTTGTAAATTATTGTTGCTTTTCCACAACATTTTTCATAAAAAACGGCCCTAAGCTCAACAAAATTGTTGGATTCATTCTGAATGCTAATAACCTAGCCGTTAAAACAGAACCAAAGATCCCTTAGAATTTCAACAAGATCAGGCCTAGGATATTTAGGCCCGAACGATCTTACGATGGTATGTATTTCTAATAAAAAAAGGTTATATATAGAGAGGATAATAAAATACAGGAAAATACATTCATAATTATTAAAGTATTCAATATTGCTTTAAATTTAACTAGAAATTAACAAATTGCAAAGCATCGGAAACCATCGATATATCGATATTTCTCTGGCGATGAATTTTAGCCTCGATGTTCTTTTCTCCGATGCATCGAAACATCGATGTATCGATTTTACTGCTCAAAATTTGCATCCCTAGCTTTGTACCAAGTTGAGCATTTTTGCCAAGTCTCAGATTGATATTGTTTTATGAATTTCTTCTTGAGAAATTCAACTATGTCATTAACCCTTAGATTAGAAGTTGTTAATGGGCTGTTTTTGCTTACGCGTAAAAGAACATTTAGCGCATTTAGCTCTAAATGCTACTCTAAATGTACATTTATCCATACAAAATACGTCACCTAAATGCAACTCCATTTTTGCATTTACAATCTAAATGCTAAAAGCAACCCTGTGATCTTCCAAAATTTCCACGATTCGAACCATGAACGAAAGACACAAGATCACGTAAGAACAAGAGAGTGAAAAAAGTCGATTTTTTTTTCGCGGGTTCTACGCCATCTTGTTTCACTGGAAAACGAGGGAAAAGTAAACAAAGCAAAGAAAACAACGAAAACCAAAATTAGCCAAAATTATTGTCAGCCACTTTAAACGCACAATTTAGGTAAAATGATGCAACAAAATGCTTTAAAATGTGTTGTCATGTTGAATTAACTCTTCTTTACTTGAATAAAAGTGTAAAATAGTGGTGCTTGTGATGTAAACAAACGCTCAGCTGACGATCCCGCTTTCGCAAACTTTTTTCTCAACAGTTATGGACATGAACACGTTATTGGCTGCCATGTCAGAGATGTCATCACAGCTGTCAACTCAGATGCAAACACAGTCGTCAGATGTTTCATCCCAGATACAAGCGCTGGAGACACGTATATCAGCAGCGGTATCAGCACAGATGTCATCCCAACTGGAAGCACAGGATGCAA